AGAACTTGCTGCTCCCCTAGCCAAGCAGTTCTAGTACAGTTACAACACTGGCATCTACCCGACGATGTGGAAAATTGCCCAAGTATGTCCTGTACATAAAATGCAGGACAAATCCAGCCCGACCGATTACCATCCCATCAGTCGACTGGGATAATCCGCTCAGTGTCGCCCAGTTTGGGTTCCATCAGGACCACTCAGCTCCTGATCTCATTAGAGCCTTGGTTCAAACATGGATAAAACAGCTGAATTGCAGAAGTGAGGTGAGAGTGACAGCCCTTAACATCAAGGCTGCTTTCAACCGAGTGTGGCATCAAGGAACCCTAGCAAAACTGGAATCAATGGGTATCAGGGGGCAAACTCTCTGGTAGTTGGAGTCATACCTGACCATAAGAAGATGGTCATGGTTGTTGGAAGTCAGTCATCTCAGCTCCAGGAAATCTCTGAAGGAGTTCCTCAGTCTAGTGTCTTCGGCCCAACCACCTTCAGTTGCTTCATCAATGACCTTCCCTCCATCACAATGTCAAAAGTGGGGATGTTCACTGATGATTGCATAATGCTCAGCACCATTCACAACTCCACAGGCACTGAAGCAGTCCGTGTCCAAATGCAACAAGATCTGGACAACATCCAGACTTGGGCTAACAAATGGCACGTAACATTCGCGCCACACAAATGCCAAGATATGACCAACACCAATAAGAGACAATCTAAACACCACTCCTTGACATTCAATGGTGTTACCATCACTTATTCCCCCACTATCAACATCCTGGGCGTTTTCATTGATCAGAAATTCAACTAGACTCACCATATAAATGTAGTGGCTACAAGAGCAGGTCAGAAGCTGCAGCGAGTAACACATCTCCTGACTCCCCAAAGCCTGTCCACCATCTACAAAGCACAAGTCAGGACTGTGATGGAATACTTGCCTGGATGAGTGTTGCCCCATCAACACTCAAGAAGCTTGACACCATCCAGGACAAAGCAGCCCATTTGATTGGCACTACATCCACAAGCATCCACTCCCTCCACCACCGATGCTCAGTAGCAGCAGTGTGCACCATCTAGAAGATGCAGTGCAGTAATTCACTAAAGATCCTCGGAGAGCACCTTCCAAACCCAGGACCACTTCTAACTAGAAGAACAAGGGCAGCAGACATATGGAACACCACCAACTTCAAGTTCCCCTCCAAGGTCAGAAATCACGCAACACCAGGTTCTCGTCCAACAGGTTTATTTGAAAACACAAGCTTTCGGGGTCTTACTCCTTCTTCAGGTGTTAGTGAGTGAGGTAGTATCAGTCACAGAATTTATAAAAAGATCAAAGGATCACACTGCTGATGAGGGCTTGGTGACGTGGTGCAATAAAAACAATTTGCCTCTCAACACGGCAAAACTAAAGAACTGATCATCGACTTCAGAAAGAAAGGAGGAGAACACGCCCACATCTACATCAACAGAACTAATATTGAGAGAGTGAAGAGTATCAAGCTCCTAAGATTGATGATAACTGACAACCTGTCCTGGACTTCCCATGTAACCATGACAGTCAAGAAGACACAACGCCTCTTCTCTCTCAGGCAGCTCAGGAAGTTTGGCATGTCCATAAGGTCCCTCACCAACTTCTACAGATGCACCACTGAAAGCATATTGTCCGGGTGCGTAATGGCCTGGTATGGCAACTGCTGCGCCCAGGACCGTAAGAGACTACAGAAGGTGTTGTGTACAGCCCAGACCATCACGGATGCCAACCTCCCATCCATGAACTCTATTTACACGGCCTGCTGCCACAGAAAGGCGGCCAACATCATCAAAGACCCATCACACCCTGGTAATGACCTCCTACAACCTCTTCCATCAGGCAGAAGATACAGAAACCTGAACACACACACAAGCAGGTTCAGGAACAGCTTCTTTCTGGCTATTATCAGACTGTCGAATGGACTCTAGGCTCAAATGATGTAACCTGCAACGTGACCTGTATGCCTCTGAGTCTTTTTGATGTGTACATCCTTTGCTTGCTATGATCTGCCTGTATCATTTGTAAACAAAGCCTTTCACTGCATTCCAGTGCACATGACAATAAAATCAAAAATCCTTTGCTTTCATTCTGTCACTCTCCTTCTGCCTCCTCTTTCTTTTTCTCTCACTCCTTTCTCTCTTCTTCTCCGTCTGTGCTCTCACTCTCTTCTTTCTCTCCTCCTGTTCTCTGTCCTCCTCTCTGTTTCTTTTCTCCACTTAAAATTATTCCCTTGTTATTGACTCTTCTCGCTGTGTCTTCCTTCTCCCTTTCTCTTCACTCTTCCGTCCCTCTCTCCTCTCTCCTTTTTCATCCTCCACTCTCTCCATTCTTTCTGACTGGTTCTTCTCTCTGCTCACTTTTCTGCTGTTTCTCCCTGCTCTTTCATTGACTCTTCCCTTTCCTTCTCCCTATCTCTGTTGTCTGTTTTCTTCTCTCTTTTACTCACACTGTTTATCACTGTCTCACCTCTCATCTTTCTCTTCTTTTCCTCATTATCTCTTCTTTTACTCCCTGTCACTTCTCTGTCTCTGTTTCTTCTCTCTCCTCTTCTCTCACATCTCTATTCTCCTTCTCTCTCTTCTCTACTCTTCTCTTTTCTCTCATCTATCATTTCTCCTGCTTCTGTCTTTCTGTTCTCTCTTCTTGTTTCACTTCTCTTCTCTCACACTTCTGTTCTTCTCTGATTCTTCTGTTTCTTCAATCTCTCTCATCCACGCGTTCTTTCTCCTCTGTCTTTTCTCCATCTACATCTTCTTCTCTCTGTTCTCCTCCATCTCCCCCTCTCTCCTTCATCTCCGACTCTCATTGTTCTTTCTCACTTCTTCTCTCTCTGACTTCTCTTGTTTCTTCCTCTTCACTTGTTTTCTCTCCTTCTTCTTCTGTCTGTTCTCTCTTTTTACTTCTGTCTTTGCTTTCTGTCTGTTCTCTCACTATCACTTCTCTCATCTCTCTCTTCGTTATCTCTTTTGCTTCTCCCTGCTTCTCCTCTCTCTTATTTCTCCGTCTCCTTCTCTGTCTTCTTTACTGTTCCCTTTTCTCATTTTTCTCTCATCTTTCACTTCTCTTCCTCATATCAGTCTCCTTCGCCCTTTCTGTTCTCTCTCCTTCTTGCTCCTCTCCTCTTTCACCTCTTCTCATTTCATCTTCTTCTCTCTCCATCTCTTCTGTCTCTACAAGCGCTTTCTTCACCATTCTCTTCTCTCTTTCTCGTTTCAGTTGTCTGTCTTTTTATCACCTTTTCTTCACTCTTTCATATGTCTCCTTCTCTCTCTTCTCCGTCTTTTCTCTCTCCCTTGCTTTCTCTCTCTCTCTTCCCGCTCACTTCACTCTTTCTCTGCTATCTTTCTTCTCTATAGAATCTTAGAATTATACAGGGCAGAAAGGGTCTACTTTCCTGCACTAGGCATATAGCCTTGAATATTATGACACTTCAGATGCACATCCAAGTATTTTTTAAAGGTTGTATGTTTTCCCGCCTCAATTACCCTCCAAGGCAGTACATTCCAGATTCCCATCACCCTCGGGCGAAAAGGACTTTCTTCTTCAGTTGTCTCTCTTCTCTTTCCTTCTTCTCCCTCTGTGGTCTCTCTCCTCCTCCTTCTATCCTCTCCTTCTCTCCTTTCTCACCTTCTTCTTCCTCCCTCACTTCTTTCTCCAATTCTGCTCTGTCTCACCTCTCCTCTCTTTCTTCTCTTTTTCACTCATGCTGTTCATCAAGTCTTCTCTGTTTACTCGCTTCTCCTCTCACAGTCTCCTCTCAATTCTCTTCTAACTTATCTTACCTCTCGCTCTTATCTCCTTTGTTTGTTTCTTTCCTCTGTTTCTCCTTTCAGTGTGTCTCTTTACACTCCTTCTCCATCTCTCTCCTACTTTTCTCTCTATCATCCCTCTTCTCTCGCAGCACTCTCTATCCCTTCTTCTTCTCCCCTCTCTCTTTTCACCCTCATTCTGGTCCTTTCTTTCTTCAGTTCTTTATCTGCACCTCTCTCTCTCTATGTATACTCCTCTATCTTTAACTCCTCTCTCTTTATCCGTTACCCTCCATCTCCATTCACTTTCTCTCCCTCTCTACCCTTCTATTGCCCCTCTGTCCCTCCGTCTCTCAATAGCCCCTCTGTCTATACACTCTATACCTATACCATCTATCCATGCTCCCTTCTCTCCCTCCCCTGCTTCATCATCCTCCCTCATTCACTCAACCCCTCCCTTCTTCCCTCTGTCTCTTCCCACTCTTGTCCTTCCTCCCTCTCTCCTCCCCCATCCCAACCCTTTCCCTGCCCCCACCATGCCCATGCACCCCCTCTTTCCACCCAATGCACCATTGCTCTCCTGGTTCTCCCTCCTCCTATATTTCCAGTCTCCCCTCTCTCCCCCCATCCTTTCCTTCATCTCGCCAATGAACCCCCTCACCTGTCCCTCCTCTCTTCTCTCTCGCACGCACCCCTGCCACTATTCCCCCTCCCCTGTTCCCCTGTTCCCCTCTCTCCAACAACCCCCCATCCCTCTGTCTGGTTCCTCCCCTCTTCCTTTTCTCCTCACCTTGTCTCCTCCTTCTTACCCCTTTGCTCCTCTCCTCTTCTCCCTCATCCCTGCGTACCACTTTCCCCCCCTCCCCATCCCTCTGTTTGTCCCTCTCCCCTTCTCTCACTTATCATCGTCTCTCCCCCTCTCCTCTTTCCACTGTCTCCCATCCTTCTCTCTCCTTTGCTCCCTCTCTCCCCCAAACTCCTTCTCAACTGTCCCTCCTGCTCATCCGCCTATTCCACCATTTCTCTCCTTCGTCCCTTTTCCTCTCTCTCTCCACCCTTATCCCCTCAACCCTCACTCCCCACTCCTTCTTCCCCCCTCCCCCTCAACACCTTCTCTCCATCTTCTCTCCACCCCCCCCAGGCCGAGGCTCTGTCTCCAGGGTAACGGTGACGCGCGAGCCCTCAGCCCCGCCGCTCGCCCATTGGTTGCTGATCGCGATTGCGGTCACCGGCAATGGCGGCCGGGGGGAGGTGAGGTGGCTTTGGGCTTGGGTAATGCCGGTACTCCGCGCTCGGACTCAGAATAAACGCGATTCTGTCACATCGGAGTGAGAGCATGGGAAAGATCAGTATTAACATGGCTAACAAGAAAGGTAGGTGCTGGCGGCCTAGCTCTGGATGGTGGCAGCGACTGGTGCTGAGTCAGGCTTTAACCTAAAGCCATGCAATTACAGCGACAACATCGGCTGCATTTCACTCCATCAGTGTGAATGGGCGAGAGACAGTAACACCTATCCTCAACAGAGCATTCAATATTCATTTTAAATGTTTCGGTTTCTTTCTTAAGCTATATGCATGAAATTCTGCTTTTGATTTTGACTTGTTTCTGGTTTAATGCCAAGAGAATCGCTGCTGCTTCCTCCCTACTTTTCCCTTTCACTCGCTCGCTTACACAACCTTAAATGTCTGATGAGTTTAATCCACATTGGATTTTTAGAGCCGAAACATTGGTGCGATTTAAAAGTCGACGGATCTCAACGGCCGGTGAACTCTCTTATTTTTAAATTATGTTAATACATACCAACTTTCTAAAATAATATAATTGCGGTATTTGTTACCAAAATATATTTAATTGAATTTAACTTAATCAAGATATATTTCATTTAATTTAATAGCTTTGTCACAAACGTATGGCATTGTAACAACATATTTTCACAGTCGTTAAGGATGTGTGTATGTGGTTGGATGAATGTCTTCTTAAGAAAAATCGGGATAAACAAATCATTTGCCTCCAAGTGTTTATTAAATGACAGAAATTAAACTTTCAAAATTCAAGCTTTTTGGATTTAAACCCACTGAAGTGATGATCTTGCATTTGGAGAAGTGTGCGATGATGTCACAATGCCTGTGTAAATTATACTTAAACGCATCAGCAATGACAAGTATTAACTCCCTTACCACCAAATCCTACAGAAGATTTCTGTTTGCAAATTGTGTCTTATTCCTAAAGTTCCTACTGTGACATTACTCTGCACTTTTGAACTGTGCACTCTCCAAGTTGGTGTAGGCTTCGCTTATCCTGTAGTCTGAAATCTGCAGCTTGTGTCAAACAGCCAGGTTCTGGGAGCTTCAGGACTGCAGTTCTAGTGAAATTTACTCTTGAGATTACTGACCCTAACTTCTGTTTAATACATAGACTTCAATCAATACGAATAAGAGTAATATTTTTGAGGATACGTCCCTTAATGTGATAATAAATTAATATTATGCTTGAAATATACTAATATTGATTCCATAATGGAAATTACTAGATTGGTAGTACCAGATTTAAACAGCAATTTTTTTTTAAAAATCCCTGGGTGTTTGAAATAGTTACCTATCATTGTACTTATTGAAAAATTCAACTGGAACTTTAGTTCACTTAATGTAGTGTGCATATTGTTTTCTGTAGGGAGATCGTGCATTTAACTAGGTTGGCAAAGGTCAGGACTATCATAACCCTGTTCTTATACTGTTGGTAAGTCAAAGTCATGAAATTCCTGAGGTAACACAGTGCAAACACACCATTACAATCACTGTACCATATTAAGGAGAAGGCCAATATTTCTCAAGGCAGCTAAAAATCAAGTTTTTAAGAAAAGGCATACTGATTTTCCACCTGATCCAAAGTACTTTTAATTTTTTTTGTAAATCAGCAAAAATAATTATTTTCCCAAAGATTGTCTTGATAAAATTATTGCTGGTATTTCATTGTGCATCTTGATAAGACCATAAGATATAAGAGCAGAATTAGGCCATTTGGCCCATTCAATCATGGCTGATATATTTCTCAGCCTTATATCCCTGCATTCTCTCCGTCACCCTTTCATCCTCTTACTAATCAAGAACCTATCTAATTCTGTTTTAAAGACACAGAATGACTTGGCCTCCACAGTTTTCTGTGGTAATGAGTTATACAGATTAACCACCTTCTGATGGAAGAAATTCCTCCTCATCTCAGTTCTAAAGAGGTGTCCCTTCACTTTGAGGCTATGCCCTCAGGTCCTAATCTCTTGTACCAGCGGAAACATCTTCTTCATGTCCATTCTATCCAGGCCTCTTAGTAGTCTGTAAGTTTCAATAACATTGCCACCCCGTATCCTTCTAAACTCCACTGAGTACAGATTCAGAATCCTCAACTGATCCTCATATGATAAGCACTTAACACCCAGGATTATTCATGTGAACCTGTCACAATGAATGCTAACATTGCATTTGCCTTCCTAACTGCCAACTGATCCTGCATGCTAACCTTAAGAGAATCCTGAACTAGAACTCCTAAGTCTCTTTGTGCTTCAAATTTACAAAGCCTTTCCCCATTTAGAAAATAGCAAATAACCCTATTCTTCCTACAAAGTGCATAACATTACACTTTCCCTCACTTTGTCTACTCTCCTAGCCTTTCAAAGTCCTTCTGCAGCGTCCTCACTTCCTCAACATTGCCTATCTTTATGTCATCTGCAACATTAGCAACAATGCCATCAGTTCCCTCGTCCAGATTCTTAAAGCATAATCTGAATGGTTGTGGTCCGAACGCTGATTCCTGAGGAACGCCACTAGTCACTGACTGACATCCTGAAAAAGACCCCTTTGTCCCAACACCCTGCCTTCTGCTCGTCAGCCAATCCTCTATCCGTGCCAGTAGCTTGCCCCTAACGCCATGGGCCTTGTGTTATTTAGCAATCTCCTGTGTGGCACCTTGCCAAAGGCCTCCTGGAAATAGCTCACATTCACTGGCTGTCCTTCGGCTAATTTGCTGATTAACTGCTCATAGAAATTAACAGATTTGTCAGGCATGACTTCCCCTTGACGAAGCCATGCTGACTCATCCCTATTTTACCATGCACTTCCAAGTATTCCAGATCTCATCCTTGATAATGGAATCTCAAATCTTACTAACAATGGAGGTAAGGCTAACCAGCTGACAAGTTTCCATCTTCTGCCTCCCTCTCTTCTTAACAGGACTGTGACATTAACCATTTTCCAGACATCTGTGATCCTCCCTGACTCCAGTGATGCTTGAAAGATCACACCAAGATCCTTAGTTCTCTTTCAGAACCCTGGGGTGTAGATCATCCAGTCTGGGTGATTTAACCACTTTCAGACCTTTCAGTTGCCCCAGCACCTTCTCCTTAGTCCTGGAAACTTCATTCACCTCTGCCCCTAGACTCTTGAAATTCTGGAATGCTACTGATATCATCCACCATGAAGATTGACGCCAAGTGCCTATTCAGTTCCTCTGCCGTTTCTTTGTTCCCCATTACTTCTCCAGCCACATTTTCCAGTGGCCCAGTGTCCACTCTTGCCTTTGTTTTACCTTTGAAATACCTAAAAAAAACTCTGCAATTTTATATTAGTAGCTTACCCTCATTTTTCATTTTCTCCCCACTTTTTGCTTTTCTGCTTGTCCTCTGCGAGTTTTTAATGGGTCCTCAATTGTCTGGCATCCCACTAAAGCTTAGCCACATTGTATGCTTTTTCTGTTGCTTTTGTATGTTTTAATCAAACTGTTCAGAGATGTTGCTACTCACTTCTGGAACAGGTAAGACTTAAACGCAGGCCTCCTGTCCCAGAGGTAGGGACACTACCACTGCAACTGACTTCCCTTGTCAGCTATGGTTGCCTTGTTTTCCCTTTAGAATGTTTTTTCCTTCCTTGTGATGAATTTCTGCTCTGCCTCCTGAATCACCCCCAGACACTACTGCCATTGCAGCTCCACCATTTTCCCTACTTGGCCGCCTTTCCAACCAACTCTGGCCAGCTCCTCCCTCATGTCTTTGTAGTTAGTTTTACTCAATTGTAATACGATTACATCTGATTCAAGCTTCTCCATTTCAAATTGCAGGGTGAATTCTGTCGTATGATCGTCACTGTCCTCCAAGGACACCTTCACCTTCAGCTCCCTAATTAAATCTGCCTTATTTCACATCACTAAATCCAGAATTGCCTGTTATGATGCGTTTAACATAAGCTTCTCCAAAGATCATCTCATAGACGTTCTACAAATTCCTTTTCTTGGGGTCCGCCACCAATCTGATTTCCCCAGTCCGCCTGTGTATTGAAGTGCCCATGATTATTGTAATAATTCCTTTCTGACATGCCTTTCTGTCTGCCAATTTATTTTTGTCCCACACCCTAACCCCTGCTAGGAGGCCTATACATAACTCCCATCAGGATCTTTTTTCCTACTCAGTCCCACAATTCTACTCACACAAATTCTGTGCCTTCCAACCCTATATTGCTTCTTGCTATTCATTTAATTTCAGTTATTACTAACATGCTGCCCCTTTTTCCCATCTGCCTGTCCTTTCAATAGGATGTGTACCCTTGCATATTCAGTTCCCAGTCCTGATGCCAATTGCAGCCACATCTTTGTGATGGCCGCGACATCACACCCATCAATTTCAATCCATGCTACTAGTTCATTTATTGTGTTTCGTATACTGTGCACATTTAAGTACAACACCCTCAGTCCTGTGTAGAATGCACCCCATCTCATAGCCATTATCTACTCTGCCTGAAGTTAGATTCTTGACCCTTTCCATACTCCCTGTTCTGTTACTTGTTCCAGTAGCTTTACTAACCTCTGCTGAGCATTCCCCAACCCCCAACGCCCAACACTTTAAAGTCCTTGTGACCATTTTATTTGGCTTTTCCTTTAGGATCCTGGACCCAGATTGGTTCAGGTAGAGCTCATCCCAAAGGTACAGTTCCTTCCTGTCCCAATACTGATGCCGGTGCTCCACAATATTGAACTTCCCTTTCTGCACCACTCCGTTAGCTACATGTTTACTTACCTAATTTTCTTATCTCTATGCTAGTTTACATATGGCTCACCCAGAGAATATAACCCTTGAGGTCCTGTTTTTTAATTTTGTTCCTTATTCCTGATATTCCCCAAACATGACTTCATACCTTGTTATTTGTCCCAACATGGACCACAACAACTGGATCCTCACCTTCCCACTCCAGTATTCTTTACAAGCCGGTTTGAGGTGCACTTTACCTTGGCACCAGCCAGGCAACACACCATGCAGAATTCTCAAACCTGCTTACAAAGGATGCTATCGGTACCCCTAATTATAGGATCCCCGACTGCTACCATTTCCTTTTG